GTTTTAAATAGGCCCCACTTTGTCAATGAAAAAAACAGAAATACATGTTCTGTTTCACTGAGTTGGGAAACCGGTTAAAAGTTTACTAACTTTTGGACCTATGATTATCGGTTTAAATAACAGGTGGCCGGTTTAAACATTCAATTAAATATGTCCCTATATTTTTATGTTACTTTACATCTATGTGCAATTGAATATGTCGAATATGGTCCACGTAAAAATAAAATTTATGTCCATTTAAAATTCAAGAATGTTCGCTTCATTATACTAAAAAAATGGTGAAGGGACACTGTTTTTAACGTTTATCCGTTTCAAATTCTTGAACCTTTGATCAGGATCGTTACAGCAGCTCGATTCAGGTTAGTACAAACAAGCTAGCTGATAGACTGGGTCGTAACGTACGCTTTTGTGTTTATAACTCTATTTTACGATGGGCTCGTTAAAGGCTTAAAGCATCCTTGGGACAGGACGAACAGTTTACGTAAGTTGAAGCCGAAAAAAAGAAAGCAGCGAAAGGAAGTGTCAGCAGGAGTGGCTGCGATCGAACAAGAGAACGTTAATACCATCCCTAACCAAGCCGAACCTTCGGACCTTCGTTAAAATCGGTTCAAAGGCCGCAATAGGCTAAAACCGCCTGTTATTTCGGAAATTTCGAAATGTTAACTCTTCTTCTTCCACGAGTCTCTCTCACGTCTCTCATAAATCATAAAACATTCCGGCAAAACACGATATGGATCAGGATACGGCTAATTGGAAAAGAAAGCGCTTCCGAGACATTCCGAACATTCGCCTTATCTTCGCTATCTCTCTTGTCGTGATAAGAAAATAATTAATGAATCTGCCCTTGTGCCAGTCTAATCAGCATTATAAACTTCTTCAACCAATTTTTCGAACGGTCGAATAACTTTTCCCCCATTTTGATACAATTTTATAGGATATCTTTACCTGGTGGTCGTTCTATGCATACTTAATCTTCATTTCTTAATAACTCGGTCAATTTTTAAAGTTCATACTGATTTTTTTTTTTTTTTTTAAAGGGGGCAGCGTCTCATCATCGGAAGACTAGACCGGCCGAAGTATGCCCTTCTGAGCGAACGCAGTTTAGATAATTAATATATGTAATTATTTTCAAAAATTAAAAAACTACAATAACATAAATAAAATGCTATAAAAACTATTTGATATACAGTACTTAAATCAATACGTTAGTAACTTGGCAAAGGTGCGATTATTAAATTAGCATGTGACAAAATATTTAAAGTATATGTAACGTGAAAAAACAAATTCAATTGTTACAGCCGAGTTTTCGACCTGTTTTAAGGTCATCATCATGGCAAAACAATCTTAAATATGTCTACAAATTAACAAAATTAAGTTTTGAATAGATAGTTTCAAATTGCTCCAATTCAACATTGAAATTTTGGGAGTGAGTCTGCCTTCAAAGAAATTTGAAATCATCTATTCAAAACTTAAATATGTCAATTTTTAAACATTTGTAAGATTGTTTGGCCCTGACAATGACCTTAAAACAGGTCAAGCTTGACAGTAAATATTGAATTTGATTTTTCTTCAAGACTATACCGTGATCCGGATTATTCGTGACAAAATATTTCTTCATTATTATTATTGATCAAATAAAAATTTTCAACCAAATCCAAAAACCTAATACATATTACTCTTATATATTATAAAAATATTTTTCAAAACGAATCGTCTGTTATTTATAAGAATATAGAAAAGTACCGATAAGTGAAGGACGTATGGTAAGAAACTAAATCAAGATGTGCTTTCCTATTGATCAATAGGGAAGTGAAATAAAATAAATGCAACAGATCCATTTCCTTTCAAATAATTGGACCTGGGAAAAAAATAAAACCGAAATGCCCGCCCAAATTTTTAATTGTATAAATTATATCTCAGGATCAATACTCATCATCTTTTTAAATAGGACACAGTTGTCAAAAACGAACTATGTGAAGGAAATTTGACTTGGCATGTTTTCCTGTTGGAAAAACAACCGTATTTTTATTTATATAAAGATCAACGTATATTTGTTTCATTACTATGGATGATAAAAAATGATAAATGAATATGACTAGCAATCGCGTTAAAGGTCAGGTATGACAATTCCCGTGAGCCACCTTGTTTTAATAAATGGGTTATCGGTGTTTTCCCATCCCAAAAACTGGAGGGAATGCAATTGGGTGACATTTAACATTTATTGGGTTGTCCGGAAAATAATGCAGGATTTTAAGTTTTCATTAAAAAANGGAAATTATTTTGATTAAAGAACATTGCTTTAAAGTAACTAGTTTCTTTTTTTTTGTTTAATACCAAAATCCTGCATTATTTTCCGGACAACCCAATAGCTTCATTTTTATCAAGGTGGACTAGTAACCGACCGAATATCCTTGGAGGTCGACATACGCTTTTTGCACGTAGGGGGGTTAGGCGCAGACGGGGTTCTATTTTTGTTGCACAAAACTTTTTAAATAAGCAGTGTATCCGGGGCATGGAAATAAAATAATCACTTCAATTGCTCTAATATTTCATAGTTCATAATAGGCGCGGCAGAAATATACTAAATTTAAGGCAAATTATTAACCGTGGCAATTACGTCTTATTTTCACTGTCCCAATATATCCTGCCATTCACCATTTAGTGTACCCTTTTATAACACAAATTACATATTTTATTCACGGATAAATAGAATAATGAGAGAAGGAAATAACATATGTCCAAATATTGCCTTTTTTCATATAAGTTTTAATAATTTAAATATAACATAAAGACAATAATTGTACAGGCAGTTTTGAAATAAATATATTTGTCTAGTCTATTGTTGTTATTACTTCTTTTATTACTGTTAATGTTTGTTGTTGCTCTGGTTTTTGTTGTTTTATCAATTTTGTTTTTCTGCTACTTAAATTGTTGTCGTATTTCGTTTGCCCAGCTGAATTTCTCTTGAACAGGTAACGTTGCCGGAAAGCAAAAAAATATTTAATATTTTTTTTCTAGTTTTAAATTGTTATAGGATTTTTCATATTTGTTGTCACGATGCTTCAGAGCCAGTAAACTTTGAAATTTTAAATGAGAACAAATACTTTATTAACCTCTATTTTAAAGTTGTTTTTTTTACACTGAAAGAGATGGCACAATCAGATTTTAAACAGGTCAAAGAATAACTACGTTAGGGCACAGAATGTGAAGAAAAATATCGTAATTTAATTTTTCATTAAGCATTTTCATTTGATATTTTGGGCTAGTTCGGTTTTATGAATTTCAAAACCCTCTCAAGAAAATCATAAAACCGACTAGCACTAAAACTGTTAATTAAAAAACCTTATTAATAATCACGAAATTAAGGTATTTCTTTGCACATTTTGTGCCCTAACTTTATTATTCTTTGACCAATTTAAAATCTGGTTGCGCCATCGTTTAGAGTGTAATAATTACTTTAAAAGTGTGCGTAAAAAAGTACACGTTCTCAATTAAAATTTCAAAGTTGTCCTGGCTCTGAAATATCATGATAACAAATATTTAAAAAAAACGATAACACTTTTAAAGTAGACTAAAAAATATTAAATTTTTGGGTTTTTTTCGATAATATTATTTGTTCAAGAGAAATTAAACCCGGCCATATAAAAAGGGCACCCTGTATAGATGAACAACCTGTTTTCTTGACGAGAATCTCATCTAAACTGAAGGGTCCTTTTATCTGTTAATATTTTAATGAACAATTCAAATTTACTATTAATAATTTGGGATGGAAATTGTACATTATAAAAAAAGTGGAACTGTTAAATTAAGGAAGGTACGAACATCTAATGGTCTGTTCTAAATTAAAAAAAATTTAAATTGCTTTTACATGAAGACCTAATAACTAATATAAGTCATAAAATTGTTATAGAATTTATCAACATTTAACCGAAAACTAGAAACCTACGACTCAAATGATTTTTTTTTCAATAAATCTCAAATACCTCAACCTGCGTATTTTCAGAGGTGACAAATGCATTTAACACAAAGTAGCTAATCATTATTATCCCCATTAACATCACAGATTAAAATGTTATATTATTGAATTAAATTGTTTTTACATTTTCCAAGCTAAAAATAGTAAAAAAAAAATGTTTCCAAAATTGTATTTCCCTTCTTGGAGAATTGACAAGCAAAACGTTGCTGGTCAGTGACAAAAACATAAATAATGTTATAGTCATTCATTTTATGGGATCGTATAATAAAACTGTTATAACTTTTATTAGGATATTAGATAAGGGAATAAGCTTTGTTTTGAGATACAATAGAATAAATAGTTGCGGCAGCTACACGTTTTATTTGTCGATCAAACTGTATAGGCCGTGGCCCCCACGTTGATTATATGTATATTGTTGATCGGTATTAACATGCAATTCCCGAGTCAATAATGGCCAATAATTATTTTCTCACTATTATATAAGGAAATTTAAAAAAGGTTGACTGAAATTATTCCATTTTTGTAGTTTAGTTTAATACATGATTTACGGTTTACTTCGATTAATCGAATGGTATTCTTATATAAAAAAACCACGTTAATTTAGACGTGAGAAGAAGAAATTAAATCTTTAAGAAATTAAATTTGCTTAAAACTGCTTTCGCTCTCATTTAATTTACTCATAAGTTTATACGTAGTCGCTGTACTTAGTTCTTTCAATCGAAGTACACGAGATTTAAATAATTCCTTATATCCTGGCATTGTTAATTTGACTAGATGTTATAAGCGATTTCCGGCAAACCTCACTTTGTTTACCACCGTTTTCCTTATGTAAGTTCAGGTGAGCCATAAAGAACGGGGCTTATGCAATTAGACCGAGTCGCTAATGATGTGTCGTATGGGATAGGGATTCTGTAGAAAGTCGACCCGAGAGACAATCGGCTATCGGAAGGGCCGGGGACGGTTACTGGATGGAAAGTCAAAAACGAAGTCATAGGAGAGTGTCTACAACGCTCGTGTCCCTTACCTTGAGGATCTAGATTGCGGCGGCCCTTTGGGAGAAGTGGTGTTCGACGGACCGGCTAGGACATACGTCGTCATAAGACATGCGATAAGGAGAGGCCCCATTATTGCAGATCCACTCTTCCACAAGTCACTCTGAACACTGAGAGGTTCCAGAACCTCGTCACTTTCACTTCCCACAAACCCCACTACCGACGCACCGGCAACCCCCTTCCCAAATTTGAATGTACACATTAATTAATCATTGGGGATAAAGTCTAAGTTATAATCATTAAACGGAATAAAATTTCTGCCGGGTTGCCTAATAAGTATGTAGCGAATCTTACATATTTCAAAATTACTGTACCACTTGTACTTTCTTCGTTTATATCTTCGCTATTTTGACACCTAAATACTACCAATATTTTGGTTCCTTCCTGATATGATAGGACCTGAAATTAAACTTTTGTGTTCTTATAGCATTTGGTTTTTCATGATCCCAATCCCTCAAATTTCTCATTAGCACGTACAGGTTGTCCATTACAGACAAAAAGCTTTATTTGCTTTTTTATTACAATTGGCTATAATTAGTAAAATAGAAAGTATTCGCTTTCGATTTAACCGAATACAAGACTCTCATAATTGGTACATGCTTCTTACCAGTTTCTCATTCATCTACAGCTTAATGATGTTATGAATTAAATATTTTGTTCCTATGCCGTGTTTACGATTTTTCGTCTAGCAGTTTGCATTCTTAGTTTTCCAGTAAAAGGATAATGAAAGATTTATTTGATATGAAGAGAGAGATTACAATGGCCTGAGAGGGGCTCTGGAGTAAAGTGTACAGCAATGCAACTACGTTACTTTTCCCCTCCGAAAAACAACCGTACAAATATTTCATTGCTAGTACGTGAAGAATTGGGCAACTCTGAATATTGCCCTCTGGAAGCGGGAGTGCTACAGGGCAGTCGGACCACTCTTTTGCATCCTCTGTACTTAATATCCTAACACTCTCAACACGACACGCAAGGATGGCACAATTACACAGAAGACAAACACTTTGAGCCCTGAAGATGATCTCAATAAAAGATCGAAACGTTGGCACGATAAAGAAAATGTTTTTCTGAAACCTACATCACACCCGACCGCATCTCACGATATCTGAATAATTAATATCCTAACTTGACATTCCAAACCTCGGTTCCTATGCTGTCGTCAGAGCTGTGCTATCTACTGATCCTGATTCCACAATCGCTTCGGAGGAGCTTCAGGCACGCGTAACAATGAAAGCAAATGCCCCTATGTTCATACCTAATTCAATTATTCCTCAGTAATGATCCAATTCCTAGAATTGACTGTGCACGCTACACCGACATACAAGAATCTCATAGTTGGTAAATCCTTCTTGCCAATTTCTCGTTCATCTACAGCTTAATGATGTTATGAATTAAATATCTTCTTCCCATGCCTTGTTTAATATTTTACGTCTAGCACTTTGCATTCTTAGTTTTCCAGTAATAGACGAATGAAAGATTTATTTGTTATGAAGAGAAATTAGAGTGGCCTGAGAGAGACTCTGGTTGAATTACAGCATTCTATTTAGATTATGGTCCTAGAAGAAAAGGTGAGAATTTAACAGACGCTTCCGATTATTATACAAATCATTGTGCAGAAATATCCAACAAAATACTGAAACCTACAAACAATACTGAAACCTATTTGGAATGAAACCAATAAGAAATCGATAAACCAAAACACTTATTTTTTAGTCCAAGGTCTTCAGAACGATTGTCAACGCTCCATACTAATTTTTCAACACTTTATTGCACTATAATGACTTCAAATACCTTTCGACTATTGAGTAAAGTTGGGCTAGCAACAGCGGTTTTCCAGTGTTCATTGCATTGTACCATAAGAATATTCCATTTGTGATGATAATCTTAATTTATCGTTTTGTTAAACCTAAATACATCCACTATTTGTCAACCACACCAGAGGGATCTACTTGGGGGCTTTCTTCCCCTTGGCAGCTACTACCCTCGTGCTTTACTATTTTGCATTTTTTGAGCTTTACTTTGGAGGGGATTCTGGAGCGACCAAGGAAGAAACGAAATGTGTTACTTTGATATATCCTCATTCCAATTGTTCAATGCAGTTAATAAAACAATCTTCACTACAAGCGTTCTGATTCCCAGTCTTCATTATTTCATTCGTGTACTATAAAGGTTAGGCCTCTATGAAAAACATTGTGTAGATAAAAGATCATCCCTGAAAGGTGCTTCCATCAGAGGTCAAAAGGTTGAACATTGTAAAGGTCGTGATGTACAGTATTCAGGATCGCCTCTAACACTAACCGACCTAGAATCATCGTAGTGTTGTTGGTGAATGTTGAATGAGATTGTTAAAGTTGAAGGAGAAATAAAAGAAATTCGGTTATTCAGATTCCAAGGATTTGCATGGTAGAAAGGGTGAATTACTAATAACGTTCTCTTTGTAAAGCGTTGCAAGTACAATGTTAAATTATCCGGTTAAGCGGTTGTGTAAGGGTTGTTCCGTAATGTTAAACTTCTTTTTTTCTATTTCAAAAATTTATTCACAAAAAGTCCAAGTTTTTAAATGAAAGCTGGTTTCTAGCCACTTGTGAAAAATGAAGGTGCAAATCGATTAGTGTATATCTCAGGTCAATTGTGTTTAATGATGACCTCAATTATCTCTTGAAATCCTTCCTGCGTTTAAGTTACACCGCATGCGATGTTATGTCGCGCAAGTAGAAGCTGAAATAGCAAAGAAAGGAGCTTTCACTGGCTTTACAGGGATCAGCATACGATCTGTTTACAATGCAAACGAAGCCGAGCAATGAGCTTACTATAATCGTAAATTATTTTGTATCTCATGCTATTCTGGACGAGATTTTTGATCTTTTTCTCTCTGAAATGAACGTTAAAACATTATTATTATTCCTGACCATCCGGATTTTCTCGTCAGTCTTTTGACAGTCTCTATCTTATCCACCAAGTATTAGTCTTGAACTTGATCCATTTGGCTATTGCCCTTTTTTTGTAGCAGTTAAATTTACCAAGTAAGTTGATGAAGAGTTTGTATCATATGACTTGTCCCCCAAGTTATGTTTATGTGCAGCATAAGCTTAACCACTCGAGTTAGACGCGTCTATTTTGAACTTATTCTCTTGGAGCTCATTCGCTTTAGGATTGCGAGTAGGTTGGTACTATTTGAGTTATCTGAAATTCCACGGGAATCATATAATTAGAAGTCCCCTGAGTTGGAAAACAATCTTTTGAAGGAAAAAATTGTGCTCTTTCAACTTAGACGTATTCTCGCCCACAAAAGCCTTTGACATGCAACATAATTAACCTTACAACGCCGTCAAAAAGGATCAGTTTACTTAAATAGTTTTGACCACTACTAACAATAAAGTTTCTTCGAAATAAGACTTTAAGGGTAGTTGTGTATTAAGGTGATCCATACCAGATATTTATATTTATTTACAACCTGCGTTGATTCACCATTTAAAAACCATTTATCCTTTTTACGCAATTTTCTTCCTTTTCGAATGTTAACAGGGGGTATTCATAATGTTCCTCCCTCTACAGGTCACTTGTTAATTGTGATAAAAGGCTCCCTTTCTTCCTAAAATATCTACTGTCGAATTGACCTTTCTTTATGTCCATATCCCCAGAAAGCACAACTTTTAAGGTAGTTGAGCACTTTCTGAGGTTATTTTTTGTTTATTTCTCTCGGCATTAGTGTCGTTTCCCAAGTTCAAGCGGATTTTAGTTTTCCTGGTTAAGACGTTGAGAAACTTCTTTGGTTGTTTTGCACCCTGAATTCATTTTATGCTCTTTCTCTATCAGTTCGGTTCTGCTTTTAGCGTGGTTTTTGGTGTGCCGATTTCGAAAGGTACGAGGGCTGCTGCTATTTTTGCTAGTTTGTCAGCCTGTTCGTTGCGTTCAGCACCCTTGTGTCCTAGCAAAATCAGAGTTATAGTGGATAACTAACGATTGGTCTGCGAATCGATGAATTAGACACACCAAGCATGGCCACTTACTGGGCCTGTCTTCACTCGCGGGTTTTTTGTTTTAGTCATTCAAACGGTTCGATATAACATCAGAGTTACCTGATACCTAAGTTTTCCCGTTGAAGATAGAATCTCAGTTTAGAAAATATATGAAGTCAAATTTTGGTCCTTTAACCTTTGCTTGACACTCTGTTCCAATTTTGATCCATCTATGTGCCCTTCTACTACTTCGGGTTTTTCATTCTTCCAAACATCCTACCACGGACCGGAGGAGGTTTTAATGGAGAAGGCCTGAACGAGCACGTGGTTGACTGCGACCTTTTTCTTGTTTCGATTTCTGCGGCCCTCGATTTCAAGATATCACAGATATGTTCGCCCTTTTTTGCTGTGTACAACATCGAATTCTTCAAGAGAACGGAGCCGTCAAGAGAGCTTCCAGCCGAATTAGTTTCACGTGGTGTGGTCGACCATTCCCCTTTTGGATAACCGACCGCTAAAACTATTTATATTATATGTCGTTATTAATAAGTGTTATTTGTTGTCTCGCCGGCAGAAGGAATTTTAATTGTATTTGTCAATTTTTCTTCTAGGAGGAAAACTTTATTTTGTTTGGTATCCATAAGGCCTTATACAATTGTGAGAAGACCATGTATTACATTTAATTCTTCGATATCCTTTTCCTTCTTTGTGCCTCGCAATGGCCTTCTTGCTTATACATGAGCAGAAAAATTGAATAATTCTATATCTATGAAATTATTTTCTGTAATTATTGCTGCTGTTTACGAAAAGCTTGTATACCCTGCCAAGAAATAATCACATTGTTTTCGCCTATTTTAAAAATGCAAAGCGGAAATCGACCGTACGACCGAAGGCATTCGTACAACAATTCGTTGGTTGGAGTTGTGTAACTGTGTGGGATCAAGCTGCCAGAAAGTTCCAATTGTCTGCGGTTAGTAATTATTGAATCGGCCTATACGTAGGTATCTTTTTTTGTAATATACATCGATTCTTCTTTGAATTAACCTTTATAATTTTAATTGTTTTTGTAATTAATGATTTATAATGAAACATTATCGAATGTATATTCAAATCCTTTTTCACTCTTCATCCAAGCAATCATTTAGAATTAAACGATTGAACCGGCCTTATAGAAATATTCCGAATATGTGAAGTTCTTGGATTTCTTAAAAGTTAATTTCTTAAAGTTACGAACGCATTCGTTAGTACATGAACATAGTAGGCATCTCAGTTGGTATGCATTGTTTGTTCAAATTTAAATAAATACATGCCATTTTTTCAGCATTACTATGAAATACAATATTTTCCAATTAAAAATTAAACTTACATCGCATCTTCTTTCTTATAGATTTAACTAATGAAAACCCAAAATCAATTTGAATTTTGCGATTTCCCAAATTTATTCTGACTCATCATCGCTTTCAGCGCCTTTGTTTTTTGATTTTTTCAACCGTTTTTTCTTATGCGCTTTGTCCATTCTTTTTTTGAGCTCTTCTTTGGGATCAGGAGCTTTTACATCCGGCTCTTCTATTTCTCTTTGTACTTTTTCTTCAGCGGTTTTAGAAGATTGCATTTCTTTTGAATGCTTCTTGTCTTTTGGCTGCGTATTTTCTTCCGAACGCCTCATTTCTTTAGAAGGTTTGTGTTCTTTTGAAGGCCTCATGTCTTTGGAATGTTTCTGTTCTTTTGAATGTTTCTGTTCTTTTGAATGTTTCTGTTCTTTTGAAGGTTTAATATCTTTTGAAGGTTTCTGTTCTTTCGAAGGCCTAATTTCTTCTGAATGTTTCTGTTCTTTTGAAGGCCTAATTTCTTGTGAAGGTTTCTGTTCTTTTGAAGGCCTCATGTCTTTTGAATGTTTCTGTTCTTTTGAATGTTTCTGTTCTTTTGAAGGTTTCTGTTCTTTTGAATGCTGCATGTCTTTTGAATGTTTCAGTTCTTTTGAAGGCCCAATTTCTTGTGAAGGTTTCTGTTCTTTTGAAGACCTAATTTCTTGTGAAGGTTTCTGTTCTTTTGAAGGCCTCATGTCTTTTGAATGTTTCTGTTCTTTTGACTTTTTCGTTTCCTTTGGATGTTTATCATCCCTTGAACGTTTCTTATCCTTTGTATGTTTCTTTTCCGTTGGACGATGGCCTATCTCATCCTTTGAACCGTTTTCTTTTAAAGCTTTGTGCTCCTTTTGAGGACTTGCACTATCTCTCGGTTTCCTGTGTTTGGACACGGTTGCATCAGATAAATCACTTTCATCCTCAGCCGATGAACTCTTCTTCTTCTTCTTTCTATGTTTGTGTATCCGGCGATTGAATTTATTGTCTCTGTCGGGATACAACTTTTTGGTCGAATGTCTCGGATGCTGGCGTGGTTTGCTACTCGACCGATCCGGCGAGAACCGCTTCTGTCGTTTCTTCTTCACCGATTCCTTCACCTTGGTGGGCGATTGCTTCTTGGACGCGGTCGTCGTAGTTTGGGTGATGGATGTATCGGACTTAGATTTCGTCGTAGATTTCGTCGTAGTAGTTCTGGACGAACTCTCAGCGATGTCCTTTTCTTCTTTTTCGATCTTTTTAACCGCCATTTTCGGCAATCCGTACATCCTCCTGCCGAACGGTTTCCCAAAGCGATCGTAACCGAACGGCACGCCGCATTCGTCGTAGCCGAACGGCAGACCGTGTTGGGTGTAACCGTAATACCTGCCACACCCATCGATACCGTACGGTCTACCGTATGGATCCCATTCTATGCTGGGAAGCGCTTTACCGTGGAATTGCCAGAACCTTTCGTAAAAGTCCAAAATCTGTCTCATTTCTATTTCCTTCCTACTCTCATCCTCCGAATCGTCGATTTCAATATTGAAGTAAAGATTGGCACCTCTTTTGTACTTATCCAACTCTATTATTTGTTCGGGCGACAAGACGAAGTTCGCCTTAAATCGCCTAATTCTCACGTTACCAGCATTAATTTCGTCGCCGTCTCCCCAAGAATCATCGCTCGAGGTTTCGTCATAGCAATGACAATCAACCATGTCTTGTGTACGTCCGTTTAAATTTAAAAGGCTAAAAGTCTAAAGTATTATGGCTTCAAATTATCAACTGATGCTAAAAGTGTCACCATATGTTCGGTAATATATAATATAAATGTACGTAATCGTTTGGTCTCCTTTTCATTTGTCGGGTTTACCACGGTCAAATATTTCACATCTTCTGAAATATGAAATATTTCACTTCTCGGCCTATTTCTCCAAAAGAATATTATAAATAATAGGCTTAAAATTAAATATTTGTACAAGCTGAATTTTTTTCAAAACGGTGATTCTGATTTTCTAACTCAATTTTTATTAAGGAAAATTTTATTAGTTATTTCAATACCCATCTAGAAAAATTTCTTGGATTAAGGGATTTGCGATGACCTGTCCTCTTAAGACATGTCCGAAAATAATAAAATACTCGGATAATTAAAAAATATAATTCACACATCTACTCAATTCTTTCGTGTATTATTTATGGAAAGTTTCATGCGATAAAAAATTATTAATAAAATGGGGACTGTGGTTATTTTCACGTTGTGCGATATGTTATTTACTTTTGCCTACGTATAATTATCGAGGTATGATGACAACCGAAGTTGGAACTTGTGGTCGTTCGTACATCACTTTCCTATTGTGCAATGTTTTGAAAGTGACAAAAGATAAAAATTGAAGTTACATCGGTTGTTTGGCAATTGACACCATAATGTATTTTATTCATTGAGACTGTTAGCTTTCTTGAAATTTTTAATACAGTAAGTGCGATATGCAAAAGGTCACTACATTAAATTTACCCTAGCATAGGAGCCTGTTCTGTGGTGTTTCTGTAACCACTCCCGTCCCTCGGCTTTCTTTAAAAGCAAACAGATGAACACATGCGATTACAATTAATGGGCGCTTAACATTCAGACACACCATTAACGGAAGGAACCAGTTCCGTATATGCCGTTCCATGTTAAAAACACCAATTAAGCATCCATTATGAACGCGCATCTCTTTTAACTATCGAATTTCTAATCAATTTAAATTAATTAACTCTATTTTTTAAGAAAAGCACGGGTTATTAAGCATAAATTTACTTTTTGCCTTATTGTAATGAAGAAAATAATATTTGCATTAAAAAGTTCTCTTATTGTGTCAGTTCGATTTAAAATTTCTAATTATTATTTGGAGATCGTGAGGTGCGATCTGGTGTGACGTAGGTTTAGAAAAACATTTTCTTTAGCGTGCCAACGTTTCGATCTTTATTGACATCATCTTCAGGGCTCAAAGTGTTTGTTTTATGTGTAGATGTGTCATTGTTGTGTGTCGTGTTGAGAGTGCCCACCGTGAGTTGGGTGAGTATTGTCCAGCCGCCGATTAGAGTCGGTGATCCAAGATAAACTTTACTGTTAAGTTCACTAATTTCGTGGTCCGCTTGACCAATTAATACTTTACAATTAATTAATGTTTTTAGTTGAGATGAAAAAAAGATGATTTGAAAAATGGCAAAAGGAAGGAAAACTCATAAGGTGAGGTTGAGATAGGAAGTTGATGTCCGAGTGGATCGAGGTCACGATAGCTCGGGTGGTAGAGCAGCGGCGTATCTAGCCGAAGGTCGTGGGTTCGAATCCCTCTCGTGCCATTAACTTTTTTTCATCTCAACTAAAAACCTTAATTTACTGTTAAGATTGTCCATCCAGCTAGAATCAATAACGCCACGTGAAGCAAGGGGAAACCCTTCAACAATTTCAGGGAGATGTCTCTCAAACATTCGGTGGAATCCATTATATTTAGCGGTCTGATTGGCCAAATTACTTCTTTCAATTAATTAACCTTTTTATGTAAGGTTTTGGTTGAAATGAAAAAGCTAGAGTCACGAGCGGGATTCGAACCCACGACCTTTGGCTGAATACGCCGCTGATCTAACCACCTTAGGTAGCGTGACTTCGATCCATTCAGACATCAACACCCCATCTCAACCTACAACCTTTCGAATTTTCCCTCCTTTTGCCATTTTTCAACGGAAGGTCTGGGTTCGAATCCCGCTCGTGACACTAGCTTTTTCATTTCAACCAAAACCTTACATAAAAAGGTTAATTAATTCGGTGGAATGTTCACCATCTAAATTTTCATCAAAAATCCTATTAATTCACACCTAATGCATAGCTGCGAAAAGAGAAGAATAAAAGCCAAAATCTTTGTACTATTATTTCAAAAAATTCGATTTGGGGAAAACTTTGATCAAACAAAATTCATTATTCATATACAAAAACTATATGCTTTAAGAATATGCAGTAAAAAAAACAGGGTGGTACAAGATTTGAAAAATGAAAATTGATTTTGATATGTTGTATTTTCTGTGGCAGAAAAAAATTATTCCAAATAAAAATAGATACCTTACAAAAATAAAGAAGGGGTTACAATTTAATACTCTTTTATATATTGCTTTGTTTACAGCTTGTTTATTTTTTTTTCTTCTGGACAATCAGATTTATGCTACTCTCTGTTGGCGCGCTGGTTGGTAATACCAATAAAAATAAAAATTACTCTAACTTGAGGTGTCCGATTGGACGTTTTCCCTCATTTTCGACATGGGGGGGACTGTCGAACCCTATGGCTAAATTCCTTAATAACTTAGGACAAAGATAAAATGAAAAATCGAGCTATTAAATACCTGCTGGTTTCCGTCCGCAGGACGAGCATTGTTTTATAGACTACGGTGCGTACGGGAGAGTAGAAAAAAAAGATATTTTAGGGAATAAAGTTAAACTTTATCGCAATGAAAGGACGGTTAGTCAACAAATTGACTTTAGCACTTGGTTGCTTTGATGGATTATCGTACTCGGATTAAGAAGCGAAAAACGATATGACGAGGACATGAACCGGGAGCGAACAGGGCTGCGCAGCAATAGACCAGTTGGGGTGAAAGAGATGACCAGAAAGGGCTAATTGTAAAGGAGCGGAAAATTAAAACATTTCAAACTTCGCGACTTTGGCACATTTTCACAATAAGAAATAATAAGAATCAATTGTCAGGATTTAACGTGTGTAATAATTAAATTGCTTATTCTGACAACACAAAAGTTCTACGTCTGTATTATTTACGTTTCCTCTGACGGACAATCGACAACCCCGGTGTGGTGTACATGCCGACAACAAGAATATGAAAGGGACAGTTGTAAATAGTTCACTTCTCTTTCGTAAGGCCGTGAGATCGAATTGTGAATCGACGTCGATAACACATGGTGTCGAAAGTGGAAACTGGAGCTTTTCACGTAATACATTTTCGGGACGCCTCAACCGTTCCATCTTTGTTATAATTACTAGGAGAGAGATGATACGACGGTCTCACGCCGACCGGCAATTTCAACGATTGTATGTTCAAGAATATCCGAATTCCTCTTTCCGAAATATTGGAAGGGTTTTAGGTTTTTCAAAAATTAAAACTAGATATGTATTCGGGACTAATTTTAAGCCGTATCGCTCTCCACTTGTCCAGGGACTTCGGGACGCTGATTATGACAGGCGTCTAACGTTCCTTGCACAAATGTCGATTTGGGAGACTGAAGAAAACATTCTTCCACCATCCTATCGACTGATGAATCCACGTTCACCTTTAATGGCATACTAAACCGTTGGAATTTTTCCAAATGGGCTATCTCTACAGATCTTCCGAAGAAACCGCAGGATCGGGGTTAGAGTATAGTACAGCAGTATTATTGACAAAAGATGCAAGAAGGGTGGTAGGTTTAGTGGAACATCGGCAGTATAAAGGAAATAGAGGACTGGTCCGAGCGCACTGCCCTGTGATACACCCGCGGCCAGAGAGCGGTATTCGGAGTAATCTGATCCTTGTCGTACTCGAATGAACCGTTCTGTTAGATAACAGCGGAGGATTAAGTAGAGGGTATTTGGAAGGACAGGCTTTAATTTTTACAGGAGACCCTTGTGCCACACACGGATTGTGAAATTAACTTGTTATATTATACACGTTTTCAGTTCAATGAAAGGATATAAGAATATTAGAAGCGAATGGATTCCGACCCGCTGTTTTTACGTAACATCTAGTCCCAGATGACATGTATTTAGAATAAGTCCGGTCGTTATAATTCTTCTGAGTCCGTTGTCTCATTTCCCAAATCGGGGATCGACAATGGCCATTTGTCCCAGTTTCACATCCGAGGTGGTAGTATGACCGTCTCGACTCGCATAAAAGTGATACTAGTTTCAAATGTCTCATAATATTTCAATTCGAACGTTTTCAAAGGGGCGGCCTCGTATTTCATTCTGTCATAAACGGGTCGAGTCGACCGTTCGGGATTCGGACACTTTCTCAGTTGTGCAAATACTCGTGAGGCCGGCCAGGCGGACGATAAAACGCGTACCGTCGTTAGAAACAGTCAACACAAAAACAATATACTCGTAAAATCGACTTTTTCTCGTTACAAATGAGAACCCGTCGAGTGCAGCCGAATTGAAGCAGGAAAAGCCATTTCTAATCATTTATCCGAGCGTGGACTTTAAACCAATTAACGATAATTATCTTCAAGGTATAAGACAGCCGAAGGTAAAGTTTGGATTTTTACAGGAAAGAATTTTAATGACACTCGGAAGGAAAGTCAGAAATTAACACATGTTCAAGCAGACCTAAAGAAGTGTGGAAGCGGCAACCGAGGCCGATCCTTTTCATGGGATGTCGATACTGTTTCCATTGCTGTCTGTTCAATTTTAAAATAAACATAATAAAAAGGCCTTTTTCGTCTTTCGAGAGACGGAGTAGGGCGTATAGTAAGAAATTCACATTAAAACACTGTATATAGCCCGACATCATACTGAAAAGGGGACGCTACGGACAATCATCTAAAAAAAAACACTTTTGTGATATTAGGTCGAAGAATATTAGATGCATCTCCGAATGTTCTTGCCAAAAGAGAAATGTTTCAAAAAATTTTATGAAAATTTATATTCCGGGATTTCGAGGTTCGAAAAACGATTATCAGCTTTGCTTCGTGCTAAAA